CAGGTAATGACAGTACCTGGACACAAACTCGGTAGCAGAAGGCACAAGGTGCCTAACCAGCAGGCTAGAGACGGATGGATCACCTCCCTTCTCAGCCTTCCTGGGTTTCTGACTGCAAACAGTCACCCTGCACAGAACAGATGGTTTCTCCCCAAGACCTAAAGCTCACAGATGCTTTTGTGGGGCAAACAGAGGTGCTGCCTGCTAAGAGCAGGGCTGGTACAGCTTGAGGCTAGATGGCTGGATGGGGGGGCTGAGTTGTGCTTTTTTCTCCCTTCTACCTGCATTTACATTAACGTGCGGCTAGAGGACAGCACTGCTCAAAGCAGCTGCAGAGCCAGCTCCCAGTCTCAGGAAGGGAGCACTGTGTGGGCAGGGGAGAGAAAGGGCAGAAGTGTTATTGGATTTGGGAACAGGGACAGCTGTCTGAAGAATGCAGGCACAAACCTGATTTTTGTAGAGATTACAAAGACAGCAACAACAATATACTGAGAGGGGGTTCAGGGACCTGCTTTTGTCTGGGCATCTTGCATCGATCAAGTGGAAATGGCTGTTCCTTTAAGATCTTAGCGTTGAAGGGGCTCTTTGTACAAGCAATCAAAACTCAATCATGCCCACAGTGAATTGGGGAAAACATCGGTATTGTCAGTTGTGCAGTACTGCACAAAAGAGCTGCCTTTATTGTGCATTTTAAAAACCTAATGCATTCAGGAAGATGAGGCAGATTTATTAAGGGCTTGATCCTGCCCTTAAAATAACAGTGAGCCAACACACCATAGCGGAGCTCCCAGTGCATTCAGAGCGTCCTTGATACATGGCATCTATCATATTAATCATTTCATCTGAACCACTCTAGGCTCCTGCAGGGGGTTGGTCTCTAATAGCTCTAAATATATTGGTTTAAAAGGAGCCTGGCTGTTAGCTTATAACAAAGCTAACCACAAAGACTCCTACAGGCAAGATTTCTAGACCAAGGCAGCCGCTCCTCCAGCCTATTCCCGTCACACTTCCCTTCTCGCCCCTTTCCCCGTGTCAGGCTGAAACACACCGATATTAAAACAGTTTTCAAAAGAGAGACTAGGAGAACTATCATTTTATTTCTGAACTACAGCAATTAATGAACCTTAATTACACAGCGTGTATCCCAAAGTAGATATTTTTAGTCCTCCAGGGTGACATGTTTAAGGTCTATTACTTGAGGTCTACTCATGCAAACCCAGCTAGCTTTTCCAGTAGGTGTATGCCACACAGCTATATTTTAGCATATCAAAAGCACCGACTCAGACTCTTTCC